GCTGGATGCAATGCCACCTCCTCAGGCAGGTCTTAACTGACACCTCATCCACAGCAAACTCCCTGGCCAGTTACTGATCACATTCTCCTGCTAAAGACATGTCATGGTCTGAAACTATCATTTTTTTAAAAAGTTTTTTAAAAAATTATTTCAGAGAGGATGGGCGTGGCAGGGGGAGCGGGGGTTTGTTGGGGGAGGAGAGAGAGAAACGTCAATGACTGGCTGCCTCCCACATGGCTCACAACGAGCCTGAAACCCGGCATGTGTCCTGATGGGAATAGAACCATGACCTCCTGGTTCATAGGCTGATGCTCTGAGCCACGCCGGCCAGGCTGAACCCATCTTTGCAGAGATTTGTTTACTCATTTCTCCTCCTGGAATACCCACTCCGTGAGGCCAGGGATCTCACCTGCCTCGCTCGCTACCACCCTCCTTCCTAGGGCCCAGGACAGCGGGGACATACGGGAGTGATCAGTATGTCTTTTTGAAAACTGAATACACGGGTGTATGATGGGATTGACCAGTGTCCACATTCATCCCACGAGCCTCACAGAAGGTGCTCCAACAGTCACCACAGAGGTTTGCTTCACTGGACAGGTCGCACCAGTCTGGCCTTTTCCCTGTGAACACAGATGTACACATACAAGCCTGCTGCCTGGAGCCGTAACGAAGGTTTGCTGGAACGCAGACACGCATGGGCTCTCTGAGGCTGCTTTTCTTCCTACCAGGGCAGACCTGGGTGGTTGCACCAACAATTGTATGTGCTGATGGTATTTACCATCTGGGCTTTTAAGAAGTTTGACAAACTCTGAGCTTGCAAAAAAGTGGAAAAGTGTAATGCGGCTCAGTTGGTTGAGCGTTGTCCTGGGCACCGAAAGGTCACCAGTTCAATTTCTGGCTGGGCATGTGCCCGGGTTGTGGGTTTGGTCTCCAGTCAGGGTGCAGAGGGAAGGAAACGGATCAATGTTTCATTCTCACACTGATGTTTCTCTCTCTCTCCCCCCTCCCTTCCTCTCTCTCTCTCAACTCATTAAAAACATTTTTTTTTTAAAGAGTTTTCCTGAAAACTGCATGAGAGTGCATGCAGAGTCCACACAGACACCCGCAGGTGCGGATGGCAGCTGCGTTTCACTCAGGCCTGTTGTGTGCTAGGCTTTTGCTGAATGCGTTCGGTGTGCCCTCTCCAGCAATTTCATTCTCATTATGACACCACGAGTGAGTGGTGACTGCTGAGGCCAACTGAGGTCCACTGGCCAGGGTCAGCGTGGTCAGTGACACCCAGCTCCAGGCCTGTGCCCTCTGTCACCTGGTTTGTACCCACTGTCTGTATAGCTTCCAGGGAGAGCACTTTCCAGCACAGCGAGCCGCGCCCTCGGACACGGGTCCATCCCCTTGCCGTCCTCAGGAGTCCACCAGACACCCCCACTTCTCTGGGGATACTGAGGCTGCTCCTTCTATCCTGAACGCCAGCTTCTTCTCTTTCTCTCAATTCCACCAATTTGTCAAGACTCAGTTAAGTCCTCCTCTGAGGCTTCTTCTTGCCCTAGTGATTTTTAAAATTCTCCCTCCAACCAATGCGCAAACTATCGGGAGCCGGGACAGAGGCGGCCTCTCACAGCCCCTTTCCTCATACGGCACCTGCTCCAGCAGACGCGTCCTCAACACAACAAACAAAAGTGCGATGGGCCCTAACCGGTGTGGCTCAGTGGGTAGAGTGTCAGCCTGCAGACTGAAAGGTCCCAGGGCATGGACCTTGGTTGCGGGCACATCCCCAGTGGGGAATGTGCAGGAGGCAGCTGGTCGATGTTTCTCTCTCATTGATGTTTCTAGCTCTCTATCCCTCTCCCTTCCTCTCTGTAAGAAATCATTAAAAACAAACAAACAAACAAACAAAAAAACTGTGCTAGAAATCATTGCCTTTCCCCCTGGAGGGATGCTATTTAGTGAGCACCACATGCCGACGCAAAACGTCTTTGATTTGGACGTTTCTCTTAAACTAGGAACAAATCAGCAACCACAAGCTCTGTTCTCTGCGTTGGGATGTTCCTTTTGGGAACATGTGGAACTTGCCTCACGGTGACCATTTTCATTCACCTGCGCTCCCTATTCAACTGGTCTCTCTCTAACCACCCCCCTACCCACTCCAGCCCCGGGAATCCTGCCTCCGTAACACAGGTTCCCTGGGATCCCGGTGGGTAACAAGCTGTTCACCTCTGGTGCTACAGGCATGCTCACCATCACAGCACCGAGGTGGGGAAACAGCTGAACTCGACAACAGTGCTTGGGGAGAGAGGCTACACACACTTGGGGGTGAAGTGGCTGGGAGGGGAACCTGGAACCGGAGAGGGGCTTCTGGGTGACAGCTATGTTATGTTTCTTGATCTAGGTGCTGCATATGTGAATGTTTTCACGCTGTGAGAACGCACCCAGGTATGCAGGATGTATATATTCCACTTCAATAAAAAGTCCAAAAACCACCCTCTCCAAACATAGTAATACACAGTGGATCCTTAAATTTTTTTTGCAGAAATACACACCTCATTTTTTCTTTAAAAATTTTTTTAACAACTATGTATTTTTATGGATTTCAAGAGGAAGATGAAAGAGAACCATTGTGACCTCCTAATTCCTAGATGCTGCAGACGGAGCCACTCCAGCGGGGCCACATCCCGTTTTCTTTATGCAACAAGGACCCGTAGACCATTTTACCTGTGCTGGATGGGAGAGAGAGGTGGAGCCTCTCACGGGCTGGAGAACGAGTTTCAGTAACACCGGAGTTCCAGGCACATCTGCCCCACGACCGCCAGCCCGCCCCGCCCCCTGCTGCAACCGAACCAACCGATCCTCGGAGAGGCAGAGCCTCAGGAAGCCAATGCACCTCATGGTGCAAGAACCGTAACACAGTTCTCGGAGACAAGGTCCAGGCACACAGAGGACACAGGCGACCAGTCCGGAGACTGTTTATAACAACCTTGAGGTGGCGAGGCACTTGGCCGTCTTCAGATCTTATCAAAGCAAGGAATTACTGACTCCATGACAAACAGACAGAAGTAATGACCTCTTAGCTACAGACATGTGTCCCCCGGATTCAGAGGCTGAATCCTGACCCCCAATGGGGTGAGATTAGGAGCAGGGCCTCCAGGAGGTGCTAGGTCATGAGGTTCCCAGAGAAACCCAGGGGGATCCCCATGCTCCTTCCCCAGGTGAGAACACAGCGAGATGAGATCAGCGTTCCCCACCCAGCGGGAGGGGAACTGTGACCTGTAAGTGCATGTTGTTTTACAGCAGCCCAAACAGACTACCATGGTCGGCAAACTGTGGCTCTCGAGCCACATGCGGCTCTTTGGCCCTGTGAGTGTGGCTCTTCCACAAAATACCACGGCCTGGGCGAGTCTATGTTGAAGAAGTGGCGTTAGAAGTTTAAGTTTAAAAAACGTGGCTCTCCAAAGAAATTTCAATCGTTGTACTATTGATGTTTGGCTCTGTTGACTAATGAGTTTGCCGACCACTGGCCTAAGACAACTTACTCATTGAGCCTGGGTCAAGCTTTGGGTGCCGAACACTCTACATACACACTCTCCTTTACTCCTCAAAGCAATCCTAATCTCATCCCTGCCTTACAGGTGAACACACTGAGGGGTGGAGAGACTGACAACCTACTCAAGATCACAGGGTTGTTAACAGGCAAGGCAGGGGATCAGCCACGCAGCTAGACCCCAGAACCCATGCCCTCCACCACGATACCCGTCAGCCAGGCCTTCCCTTGGGTTTCCGGTGTGCAACTTGCATCGTGTGGCGTTCGTTACAGTTCAATACACACAACGATAGGAACTCTAACAACTCCATCATCTACTCTATGATTTGCAGAGCGTGTCTCTGCCTTCACATAAACTCACGTTTACGCCGATGACAAAGGGCCCATGTCCACCGCCTCAATACCCCAGGCTTCCCCGCTTGTCAGCTGGAAATCCAGAGACACCAGCCTGGCCTACCTGAAGCCATCGCCAGCCCAGATCAGAGGAGCCGAGTCAGCAATCTCTCCCTTCCATTACGAAAGACGGATTGCCGTCTTTTAACCGAGTATTGGCTCATTCTGCATTCCCTGGGTAAGCAAAACCTACACCCCAATTGCACTAGCAAAGCCGGGGGAATGAGACAAATGGAACTTTTGCTGAGTGTCTGCAATGTAACTTTTCGTTGTGCTCTTTACAGGAGTATTTTGGTAAGAACCTTTCGAATCTTCTTTTTGAAGCCACACGGACCTTTAGGAAGGGCAAAACGGCTTGGCTATGTTACTTTTGAAGCATTTAAATGGGGAAAAGTTATTTCAATATAACGGTTGACTTAAGTAACTTTCTTCCTTTGGTTTGTGGAAGTGACAAAATATTGGGATCAGCCCTCCCCGACAAGTCACCCCACCCCACCCCCAGTTGCTGAGACAGGTGATCGAGGAATTCAAGTGGGGGGGGGGGGGATAAAACCCAACGACATCCTGTCGTGCTTGTCAGTTAGTTCTCGTCTGGTTTTAGGCGACTGTGCATTCTGCCTCGGAGAACCGGGCCCTTTTCCAAAGAAGCGGACTTCCCCGCGCACACCGCGGGCCCCGCAATGGGCGATATTCTCTTCCACCTGCAAGTGGGGCAACGGTCCGGCTGCGGGGAGCCCCTCACAGCGCCCCGGAGTCAACCAACTGCATGCACCCCGGTGCTCCGGCCCAAAGCTCCGAGCAGCCCCTGCAAACGGCGTCCCGGGCCGGCGGCACCGCCCGCAGACCCTGCCCCCGGGCCCGACGCCGGCGGCGCGGGATGCGGGACGCGGTCCCGGGCGGCGGGGATGCGGACCTCGCGCTCCGGTAGAACAGCCGAGGCCGCCTCACGTGAGCCCCGCGCCGGCCGGCCGGGCCCGCGGCGGGCGGGGGGGGGGGGGGACCCGGGCGGGGGAACACGGGGCCCGGAGCGCCCCGGGCGGGGGGGCGGCCCGGGGGCCAAGGCCGCGCTCACCTTCTTCACCGACAGCGAGATGTTCTCCAGGATCCGGTCCTTCACCTCCCGCGGCTCCATGTCGCCGCCGCCGCCCCGCCGCCGCCTCCCCCGCCGCGGGCCCGGCGCCGCCAACCGCCGCGGCCGGCCGTGCGGGGGCTCCGTGGTGCCGGCGCGGGCCCGGCGCCCGCCCCCCGCCCGGCCTCGCCTCCCCTCGCTCCGCCGCCCCGGCTCCGGCCCCGGCTCCGCGGCCCGGGCTCCGCGCCGGGAAGGAGGCCGCGGGCGGCGGCGGCGGAACTGACGTCAGCGGGGCGGCGCCGGGGGCGGGGCGTCCGGGCCGGGGCTCCGGGGCTCCCAGCGGCGCCGGACCGGGACCCCGGGACCCGGGGACCCCGGGACCCCGGGACCCCGGGACCCCGGGACCCCACTCTCCCCGGGAACCCCGAGGCTCCCTTTGGCGTGCAGACCCCTTGACCCTGGAGACCCTCACATTATCCGTCCCCCCCCCACTTCAGCCCGCAGACCCCCACCCCGCAAGCACCCTCCCCTCCCCTTCCTTCTAATTTATTTTGTAACATTTTTATTTATTAATTGATTTTAGAGAGAAACGTCTATTTGTTGTTCCACTTATTTTTTTTAATATATTTTATTGATTTTTTTACAGAGAGGAAGGGAGAGGGATAGAGAGTTTAAAACATTGATGAGAGAGAAACATTGATCAGCTGCCTCCTGCACACCCACCACTGGGGATGTGCCCGCAGCCAAGGTACATGTTCTTGACCGGGATGGAACCCGGGACCTTTCAGTCCACAGGCCGATCGATGGCTCTATCCACTGAGCCAAACCCGTTTCGACTGATTTTTTTTTTTTTTTAATCCTCACCCAGGGATATTTTTCCCACTGATTTTTAGGAAGAGAAGGAGGAAAAAGACATCAATCCCCCAGGGAGAAAGCCACATCAATGACTGCCCCCTGCAGGTGACCCCAACTGGGGGACCAGGGTAGGGATCCACTCGAAACCCGGGTGCCTGCCCTAGGCTGGGAATTGAACCCTTCTGAGCAGGAGTGAAGGCCCATGCTCTAACCACTGAATCCGCTGGCCAGGGCACCAGAGAGGCTGCTATGCTGGGATCTCCAGACCCCCACAGTGCACAGGTCTAGGCCCCAGGCACTGAGGAGCCTGGAGACCCAGCACCCCCATCTTGACCTGCCCCAGCCCCAGCCCTCTGGCCCTCACTGGCCACCCGGCCCTCCAGAGCTCAGTTCCGACACTTTCAGGCCATTCAGGTCCTTGCTGCCCCTCTGAACCTCCAAACACCCTCTCCGCCATCTGCATCCCCAGCGCCCTTCTCCTCTCACCCGTCCCAGCCCACTGCTTCACGGTCACACACCCTGAGGGCGCCAACTCCCATCAGCCCCGAAACCCACAGCACTGCTACCCCTCATACATGGCTCTCCTCTCCTCACCCACCTCTCCCCTACCCCTCACACACTCTCCTATCTGTCTCTCTTCACTCCTTTGGGCCCAAATAAATACATTTCTTTAGTCTCTCCTTTTTATTCTTTATTCAAATGTCAATATATATTTATTTTTTCACTTCCAAAAAATTTAAATATAGCTGACATAACATTGGTTTCAGGTATGCAACACAATTCAAGATATGTATATATTGCAAAACCATCATCCCCCCATTTATGCTTAAGACACCCCATTTCTCACTCCAGCTCCCGTTTTTCCTCTTCTCTGCTCAGGTTACCCCTCCTGCAGCCTCCCGCACTTAGTTACCCTAGCACCTACGTGAAACAGCTTATTTTGGTCATTGGTTGGTAACGTTTTTTCTGCCAAGGGCCATTTGGATATTTATAACATCATTCACATAACATAATTCATTGAATATGGAATTGATGTTGCTATGAAAAAAAGCTCCTAGATTTACTGAATTTCGAGTTCTGCCTGCAGTTCCCTTGGCAGGGCCAGACCCAGTGATTTCTCTGCCCTTACACAGCCCCGGGACCTTGGTGGCCCTCCCCACCTCCAAACGCCCTCCTCCCTCCGGCATTCCCATCCCTGTCCTAGCTGGGCCTCACCCCATACACACCAAAGACCCCTCCCCAGCCCTCCGTTCTCAGGGGACACCCAAGATGGTGGCAGTTGCTTTGTTTTGATGTGACTGACTAAGGGACAAGTGTGTGCCAGGAAAAGGAAGAGAACAGCTAACTACTCGGGAAATTGGGCCTGCTGCCTTCTGTCACCACCTCACGGTCCAGGGCGAGAGCTGCTCATGGGAACGATGATGACGTGTCCCACACGCTGAACCAAGTGCCTTACGTTTGTCTCACGGATCCTCACCGCATTCCTGTACGAATGGCATGGACGGGTGGGTAATTTGCCTGAAACCATACAGCAAATGGTGGAGCCCAGCAGCCATTGGATTCTTTTCTGAGCTAACGATCCCCTTTTACTTCTTCCTATTATTCTAGGAGGTAACCCTTTAGGGGAAGAAGTAAGATATCTGAACCCAGGGCATTTCCTCGTTAGTACTGACTTTAGAAAAATAGCCTCCGTGGAGTTGGGCAGGGGCAGAATGACAGGTGGGGACTGAGGCTGCAGCTACTGAATAGGTGGACAGAGGTGGAGAGCAGAGGCCACGTTACTTAGGAGGAGGAAAGAAATAGCCAGGCATCTGAAGTGTTTGTGGGGAGGAGGAAGAAGAGGAGGCAAGCCGGCTTGAATGACCAGTCTCATAGCTTGGGTGCCCGCCTTCCTGCTCCGCCCGTGTTAGGGTGCCTACAGGCCCCAACCTGTCGCATGCAACCCCAGCTCCTGAGAAGCCATTAACCCAGGGTGGAACCGACTAGCTCTGTAATCTCACTGTTAGGAAGCAAGCCCCCTGGGGCGCCATCTTCCTATCAGGTGCTCGGACGCTTGACACCTTCGCTTGGCTGCATCCTGTGGTGTGAGAAGGTGATGGCTTTCCTCTGGGTCTGGCCACAATCAACTGTTTACAACAGTCTCGCGGCCTTTCCATCCCTAAGGTGTGCATGGGTATGAGAGTGGGTGGGAGAAGGAAGTCTTGATCTCACAAGACGTTTTGCAGGAAAGGGAAGGGCCCCCGTGTGGGTGTTCCCCCATATGCAGATAAATGTCCCATGCCGAGAACTTAAACGTGGAATCGTCAAAAGCAAGGCGATTCAGAAACAAACAAACACCCACAACTGGGACGCCTGTTAATCCTGTTATTGGGAGTCATTTGCACTCAAAATTGAAGCCCAGTCATTTATTGCACAACCCTTTGCTGATCACATGTGAAGGGCACGAGACTCTGAGGCATCAGAATCAGAAGCTCCAACTGACTCATGCGAGGGCCTTGAGCAAATCACCGCCTTCGTTTCCAAATCAGCGGGTGACACAGGAAAAATGATTTTTGTTGTTGTTGTTCCTCTTCTCCTCTTCCTCTTCCTCCTCCTTCATTTAATTTTGTCCTCACCTAAGCCTCCTACTGCTAAACTCCATCAGCTGAAGGAAGAGGTTGGGAAGAAAGGCAAGATCCTAGAGAGACCATAGCCCTGGCCCACAGGTCTCCTTTACTCTTCTTTCCAACAATGTGTTATGCCTCAGAGGAAACAGAAAATCATCCTGGCACCTTTATCCTATCACATCCTTAAAAGGTCATTGGACAGGACTATAAAAAAAAGTGCAGGATGGTTTAAGGGACTAATTCCTCTCTTTCCCCCCAACTCAAGGCAAATATATTTGTTTCCAAAGCGGGGAATAAATATAGGGTGCCCCCCCACCAATGTATATACACTGTAACAGCTGTAAGCTCAATTTTGAAAATGAAATGTATTTTTAAAATATATATTTTATTGATTTCTTACAGAGAGGAAGGGTGAAGGATAGAGAGCTAGAAATATCGATGAGAGAGAAACATCAATCAGCTTCCTCCTGTACGCCCCCCACTGGGGATGTACCCGCAACCAAGGTACATGCCCTTGACCGAAATCGAACCTGGGACCCTTCAGTCTGTAGGCTGATGCTCTATCCACTGAGCCAAACCGGTTTTGGCAATGAAATGTATTTTTTAAAAATATTTTTTAAATTGATTTCAGAGAGGAAGGGAGAGGGAGATTAGAAACATCAATGACAGAGTGTCATTGATTGGCTGCCTCTTGCATGCTCCTACTGGGGATAGAGTCTGCAACCCAGGCATGTGCCCTTGGCCAGAATCGAACCCAGGACCCTTCAGTCCGCAGGCTGATGTTCTAGCCACTGAGCCAAACCAACTAGGGCTGAAATGTATTTTAATAAACACCATCTTTATAATTATTCAAATGTTTGTATACACTTTTGGGGGACACCCTATATTTCCTGTCAAACAGGCTTGTGAAGCTGATTCCATGTGAGAGAGGGAGGTAGGAGGGGCTGGTTGTACGTTAACAGCAGTGGTTCTGCAAGTGCAATCTACAGCTCTAGGACTGAGTAAACCCAAACAAGACAGCTTTAATCTAGGTGATTTTATTTATTTAAAAAATATATTTTATAGATTTTCCAAGGAAGAGGGATAGAGAGCTAGAAACATCGATGAGAGAGAAACATCGACCAGCTGCCTCCTGCACATCCCCCACCATAGATGTGCCTGCAACCAATGTACATGCCCTTGACCGGAATCGAACCCGGGACCTTTCAGTCCACAGACCAACACTATCCACTGAGCCAAACTGGTCTCGGCTAGGTGATTTTATTTTTAAAAGATATATTTTTTATTGGTTTCAGAGAGGAAGGGAAAGGGGAAGGGAGAAGGAGAGATAGAAATAGCATTGATGAGAGAGAATCACTGATTAGCTGCTTCCTGCACGTCCACACTAGGGATTGAGCCCACAATCTGAGCATATGCCCTGACCTGGAATTGAACCCTGACCTCCTACTTTATAGGTAGATGCTCAACCACTGAGCCTTGCTTGCTGGACTTTAGGTGGTTTTATTTTATTTATTTAAAAATATATTTTATTGATTTTTTTACAGGGAGGATAGAGAGTCAGATACATCAATGAGAGAAACATCAATCAGCTGCCTCCTGCAC